CAGACCTACAAGGTACAGCGGTCGAAGAGCGCACCACCATCGTCACGGATGCGTTACTCAAGCGCTGGGGACCCATCAGGCAGAAATTCGGCTCGGAAGGAAGCTGCGCTGTCCTTCCCGATGCCCGGACCTCGGCAGCGAGAGATGCGAGAGAACTCGGATTTTATTCGCATTGCAGTTATGGAAATGGCGATGCGGAGGAAGGGAAAGTTGGACGACCAACGGCCAGGTCGTGCGAGATGGGCACTTCCGGCAAGGAAAGTCCCTTCAAAGCCTTACGAAGTCGGCGTGGACGGTGTCCCTACCAGATGGATTGCAGTCACATACTAAATCGCTGAAAGCAACTTGGGGTGAAGTCTACATCTCGAATCGCGGCTGCAATACAGCTTACGGATCGCCTGCGAACGAGTATACCGGAGGCAACTCGACGCATCTCGAACCCTTCTGGGCCTTTTGAAATCCTTCGGCACGCGAACACTACCTGGTGTCCTACTTAGTGTCGAAAACAATCTTGAAGGGCTCAGCGGACCCGCTCATCACATAGAACTTGACGAACGTAAGCCGGTCCAATTTCTACAGTGGAGTTGACTGCTGCCCGATATCGCGGAAAGCCATGTGCGCGATAGGAAATGGCAGCGTCACGCTATCATAATCCATGGACGCGAAAGACCGTTGAAAAGTAGCCTCGCACAGACGGAGGATAAACCCCGCCGAGTTTACTTTGGCCCTTGCAGCAATCGGGACCCTGAATTCACAATCCCCGCACTTATCACCGCTTCGTTCCGATGACGAGACAGGGGCTCTTGATTAGGGCTCGACACAGAGAAGAATTTTCGAAACGAAGAATGGCGAGTGTTTATTCGATGAGATCCCGTTGTCTCGCACAGGAGTGGCAGGGCAATCCACTGGCTCGTCACCAGTTGTTGGGCACTTCCTGGCCGGACAAGGCCAATTTCCTAAAGATCGACCAGCACCCGACTCATTATTTTGTCATGTGAAGGGCTCACGAGACATTTACTGTATACTGCACTTCTGTGTGGGAGAAACATTTGTGGACACCCACGTCCATGCCGTGGGGGTTCATGGGGGTTTATACATCAAGCATGTCACTGGGAGACCGACACTCTTCACTGACTTCACGAAACATGAAACTTTTCTCATGCGCTTTTTTTATTGTTGACGTGGCATATTGTCTGCATAGCGAGGGATTGGGCTTTTTTTGTCGTACGTTCGACAACCAGGTTATTAGTACTACTTCCAGGTCGCAGCACTTGAGCCATTCTTACCTCCATCGATCTGCAAGGTATTTCCCACAGAAGCCCTTATCATTTCTAGCATATCTTCCATTTTTTGTTACACAGTTGTTTTTGGGACATGAGATATGGTAGCATTGCATTGGCCTTGTGTTGAAGCAGGGGTTTGAAATATGGGCATTTTCAGAGAGCATTGGGACATTAGGATACGATGGCGCACCAGGCGGGATAGGGATGGATCACTGAGCGACGCAGAGCCCAGAATGGCCTGTGATTTCGTTTATTCTATGGAAGATGAAGGAATCAATAGTGGACTTTGGAATCCTGGACAGAGACGATTCGGTGCATCGGCGGTTCGGCATGAGGGCGATAGTCCTTTAGACCAGGCGCGGCGCAGTCTCGCCCGCTTAGCCGCTACTATCTCAACCACTCCACCTTGATCGCCAAGTACCAGATCGTTTACGAGAGGAGAGAGAGAGAATTGGGTGCAGCAGTATACGCATCACCGAGAGACCTTAGATGAAGGCATATAGAAGATGATTATATGAGTATGATACCTAGTAATGATGACAGAATACCTTCCGTCTTAATCGCGCCTGTACACTTGTGCTGTTGGTGAAGGGCTATACCTGTTGTCCAACCTACTCTTCAGTATCGTTTGAGGTGTGCAGCTTGTCCTACAAAGCGTCCTGGCGTCTGCACATCACAGTCTGTGCCTTGAGTTGATACGCCTTTGTTCTTTCAGTCAGATTCAGCCACCTTTCTCCTGAGGTCTCAATAAGCGTACTAATCGCGGCCTACCACAGGAGCCTAGGAGGCTTGCAAATTTGTCGCCTTTCGGCTTCGCTAGGCCGGGCCAGTCTAGACTTGGGCTACACCGACAGCGAATTTGGAGAGGTCCTTTTGTTCTTCGTTGTTGCTCCTTCCAGGTCTAGTGCTTGGCGCCTTTACTCCTCCGCCAGGGTAATAAACGTTGATTCTTGAAGGGTAAAGATACTCAATGCTGAGAGTCGTCATACGCATCAAGCTCTCGAATATTCTATTCAATACTATGCATCTATCAACTTCTGCAAATATGATAAATGCCTTATTGAGGAGGTAGTAATACCCTTGGTGAACTAATATTTATTACCCTGGTGGAGGAGTACTTGAGACGAGACCGATGCTGTGGGCCTGGATCAATGAGGCTGGACCCTGATCTTCAACAGCCCCATGCGGCATCCCGCGGCAACCTTGCAATTCAGAGCAGAGCTCACAGTAATGACAGCGCAATCGCCCTTTTCCAATGTATTGTTTTTCAAGAAACTATCTACCTGTAAATGTGATATTGAGCGCACACAGAGGATATGGGACTGCATAAATTTGTTGGAAAGTCATGGCTGCCTCCCTTTCCGCAAATGAGCATTCATTCGCTGCAATTTTTCGAGACGTCAAAGCCTCGCGCTTGCAAGACATGTGCCATGTTGGGCAACCAGCTTCTAGCTCCCTGTGAAATATGACAGAAGCATTAGAGAGGAGCAGCTCCCGTTTCAGGGACGTACAAAGAGGACGATTGAAGCTTGTAATTTGCTTCGCGTCTTATAAAAGGTGGAAGCTTCAACCTACCACCTTTTGGATTTGAAAGTATGAACGGGTGGAATCTAACAGCCTCGATTATTATTGAACTAATTCTATTGGCGAAACTAAACGGACTGCCAGATGGCTCGCACGAAGGTGCTCGGGCGAGGGCTCATCCTGTCTTTCCAATACATCGACGCGGCCTTCTTCATTGAAGAAAATCAGAGAGTCCGAGAAGCTCTCGAGAGGGTGGGATTCGCAGTTAAGGAGCTTTTTGTTGATTCAGATAACTTTGAAAATGATCTGACCAGCTTTCTGGACGGCAAGGATAAGCCTCGATTCATCTATGTCAATGGGCACGGGGAGGACCGTGGGAACGAGCTTGTTCTTTCCAGGTAGGAAAAACGACATCTAATCGGATGTGAGGAGTCTAAAAGCTGACAATCCACAAGCCATAGTACGTATGGCGACCCAAATTGCAGCGAGATTGAATGGGGAGTCATACGGGATATAATAGCAGAAGCGGAGTGTGACGTCCTTGTTGTGCTTGACTGCTGTTTCGCTGGGTTGGCAACGATCACCAACGACGCCGGAAAAGTGGACTATGCAAAGGAACTGATCGCCGCTACCAGCTGGGATACCGACACATCTGACAGATTAGCCCCAGCCTTGTGTCAGGCACTTGCCATATGGAACTCGGACTCCAACACACGAACGGCAGCCAGCCTCTTCGAACGACTGACGATGGAACTTCGCCAAATGCGGATCAAAGCAGACGAGGGAGAGTTGGAGGGTATTGAGGTACTCGAGCGAATGAAACGAGTAGCTGATAGGAACCTCAAGAAATCTCGCAAAGAGCACCACAAGCTTCAGGTACAGGTCCTGGACATTAAGATAGCACAGGCGTTTGTGGAGAGGGAGGTTGAGGATTACGAGCACGAGAGTGATATGTTGCAAGACAAGTTAGACTCTGCAAAAAGACATCGTGCTGCTACCAAAGGTCAATTCCGGCAACCGCATTACAGCACGGCGATGTCGCCTACTGTAACTTGGAACCTCCGTCCTCGGAAGGGGAGAGCATGAGAGCGAGCCAAGGCTTGCTCGTCTTGAGTTTTACTTCGACTGCCTAATTCCAGCTCAGTTGGAAGCGTTGAGAAGCGACAAGGTTATCTTATTAAACAGGGTTAGTCGCCTTGCTGATGCAAACGGCATATACATCGGAGATTTCATAGGATTGTGATCGTGACTCCAAACACAAACCCCTAGAATGGAAAGAGATTTGAATTCCCCTCATCATTATCCTTGTTTAGTCATATACTACAGCATAAGCTCTCTCGTCAGGACTCCAAAGCCAGATGCTTAGTCTATGTCGACCTAATGGAAAGTTGTCGCATCTCGTTGCTCTTTGCACATTGGCATGAAATTGGCTCTGCCACCATCCCGAGGCAAGACTCAATTAGACTCCAAGAGACTACTTTGGCTTTCAAGTCTCCCCCCTTTTATATATATATATATATTTTTCTTTTTTTTGAGCACGTTAAACCTTCGGGCAATCAGAAGAAAACCAGTTCGGAAGTCTCACTGTGAGTGACCAGATAACGACATACGATAAGTCTCCGCAAGACTACCCTCGACTTGTAGTTTCGATTCATCATTCAGAGGGGCGAAACCGGGTGCAGCGTATTCTCATCTAGGCGATATTTGCAAGGCAAGGAGAAAGATGGCGTCTATCGTCACGGTTGCAGAACGGTTCCTCTATTTGTGATAGCGAGGACTCGAGCAACACATTTTAGAACAAATACCCCGGAGTATGAAGATACATTAGGGCCATTGCATCAGAATGCACCTTTATTCAGCTTGCTAGTTTAGGTATGTTTGGTCGGGTATCATAGGGGTAAGTAACGCAGGACCTAGGTAGTCAACACCAGGTAGGCAACACTGGCATCAGCATGCGAGAGGAGTAATTATTTGACAAAGACGCTTAAATTCTGGCCTTTTCAAAAAGTAGATTGAAGAGCTCATCAGTCTAAGGGGGGCATCGGTGTGAGTTGTTAATTTAGAAACTTCTCCGTTCTAATGATTTGATTCCAACGATATGTTCTTCATGCCTCGGATTAATTTGTACATTTGATAGGGTATTTACTCTTCAGCAGCCTGAATGTTCTCTAACCTCTAGGAGACACATGTTGTTCACTCTTCATCATCGGCTTCGCCAGCCTTCTTTCTCGCCTCAGCCTCGCGTGCCCACTCCTTCGCCTTGGCCGAGACCTTCTCGCGGCTCTTTGGGTCGCCATTCTCCTCCTCCCACTTGGCCCAGCGCTGGAACCATGCCTTGGCACGCCTCGCCTTGAGGCTCTTGACCTTGGTGCCACGCTCAAACACATCGCGAACAGTGGCTGGGTCAGCGTCACCAGCATCCTTAGCCTTGTTGGCGGCAAACACGGAGATTTCTAGATCGAGGAGCTGATTCCACAGGTCGAACTTCTTGGGATATGTAGCAAGAAGACCTTCGAAGATGGTGCGGCCGCGCTCGGGGTCGCCGTTTGACGAACGGAATTCAAGTGCAGCAAATTTGGTTGTCAGGGCTAGATGAGTGTGTGATGGCAAGGTCTGAGTTGCGCGCGGCAATAGCGCTCGCGCTCGGTCCGGAGATCCTCTTGTGTTGTGCAGGAAATGTGCGAAGTTGGTCCAGACCTGCGGTGACTTGCCTCCAAACTTCTTGACCATGACCTGGAAGAGATCGTCGGCTTTCTATAACAATAGTCAGTAATATTTCTCATGTTGAGTTGACGGTATTTAACGTACTCGGTGCTTGTTAGTCTGGATGTAGATGCTCGTAAGCCGCTCATAGACCTCCTGTTCGTCATTGTACTGGCAAGCCCTCTTGAAGACCTCGTCGAGAGTCTCGTCGGAGCCGTATGCATTTTCCAAGTTTAGGTACGCGATCCACATGTTGAGCTTCTCGGTCTCTTCCCGGATGTTGATCGTCTTGATGGCTCGCTCGGCGACTTCTCTCGCCTTGGACAGCTCACTGACTTGCAGCTGGAATGCCATGTATGCTCTCCACAGTTCGGATGAGTCTGGCTGACCAAGGAGAAGCCTCTCAAAGTCGCTGGCAGTCTGCGGGCCATGGGCATCAAGCTCTGCCGTACGATCAATCTGGATTTCAGGCTTTCTCTTCTTCTTCTTCTTCTTTTCTGAGCTGTCCGCCCCAGCTTCAGAAGCCGCATCGGCTCCATCATCGGCAGCATCCAGCGCAGCACCAGACCAGTCGAATCCACCGGCGTCCAAACCTGCTCCTCCGGTCGGCTGATCAGCCATCTCAACATCGTCTTCCTCTTCCTCTGATTCCTCCTGGTTGTCCGTGCCGGTGATAACAATATCTCCAGAAGCGTCTATCACGAGATCATCACCGCTATCGTCGTCCTCATCTTCACTATTAGAGAAAAGAGGGGCGCCTTCTTCGTCACCATCGCTATCCATCTCATCATCTTCGTCCTCGAAGTAGGAAACCTTCAATCCGAAGCTGATCCGCTTCTTGGCGGGATCAACCTTCAAGATGCGAGCCTTTACTACATCATCTTTGTTGTAAAGCTTCCTGGCATCCGTAACCTTCTTGTCGGCCATTTCGCTCCGGTGGCACAGACCGCTCACATTGTCGGATTTGTCAATGACAATGAAGGCGCCAAATTCCTCAATAGCACGAACCTTACCAGTTACAACCTGACCAACCTTGAAGTCAGAGTATGTAAGCAGCGGAACGAAATCCTTTTCCACAACGGAAGCCTTGAGGCTCATCTGCACGTGGCCAGTGGTTTCGTCCAGGGATGTAATGCGGCCTTTGACCAATTGATCTACCTGGAAGTGTGCTTTCCAATCCTTGATGAAACTGTCCGACAGGTCCGAGATCCTCACCATGGCAGATACATCACCACCGAGACTGACAAAGACGCCCTTATCAGCGACATTCTTGACAAAGCCACGAACGATGTCTCCAACTTTGAGCTGACTTGCGCTCTTAATTTCACGGTCTTCAACTGGTAATGAGGAGTTGAGAATACGTGATGGCCGGGTGGATAGGCGAACACGCTTGTTGCTCTTGTCTAAGTCCACGATGGATACTCGAACAACACCGTTCTTAGAGAACTTGAGTGTGCTCGCGTGTTCGTAATCGTCTGCAATATCGACAAGATAAATCGGGCCAGATACAATCTCGCTGAGCTTGACCATGACTTGGCGCTCACTGACCTTGGTGATCTTACCGGGTAGCACTAGGTCTTGTGTGATGCTGTCCCAAGTAAGACTCTCGGCTGAGTCGTTGGACCGGGCGGAGAGATCAAGACGATTTTGGGAAGCATCGACGGCGAGGACTCTAACGCGGAGAGCTGATCCAATAGGAAAATTTGCGCCTAACTCACCAAGTAGTGATAAATCGTCAGACGCCTCGATAGCCTCAATTCGTCCTCGAACGTTCGGCGTAATATTGACCCACAGACAATTCTGGCTGACATTGTTGACGAAGGCAATTAGACTTGATCCGACCTCAATATTCTCGAGGCTTAGAGGCTCAGCAAGGATGTCTGCCTTCAAGTCGCTTGGCTTTGCAGAAAGTTCGAGCAGGGAATGTGTCGAACGGTGCGTTATTGGAAGGAATCGATGCTTCTTTGCATCGTGAACACCGAGTACACGCACGTCCACTATGTCGTTTGCTTTAAATTTTCTCAACGGGCTCTTGCGGTTCGAAATTTCATCCCATGTATCAAATACCTCGGAGACATCAATGCGGCCTTGGATGTTGTCGGCCAGCCTCACATTGACCTGTGTCTCCTTAACGGAGACAACCCTGGCCTTGGTAATTTTGCCCGCAGAGATATCCTCTATGCTTTGAATCTTCTCGTCCACCGGATTGGCAGCAGCTGGGCCAGACTTAGATGCCTTAGGTTCCTTTGCGTCAGCAACCGAGGGGATTGCTACGACGGTCCGACTGTGTTCTCTGTCGACTGAGATAATCTTGACAGATAATGATTGCAACTTTCGTAACCCAAAATCAGGTTCAGATTGGGACTCCTGGGCCATCATGGCCTTCGGCAGCAGTGCGGTGACATTGGAAGCGAATTGGACGAAGACAGCAGTAGGTGTAATGTTGCGTACAAAGCCTGCCACCAAATCTCCCGCTTTGGCTTGATCTAAGCTTGCAAGAAGCTTGCCCTCCTTCGCAGCCGTCACGAGACTCGGCTTTTGGCTGAGCGTGACTGCTCGACGGCTTTCGTTCTTTTCTAGAACAACCAGCTCAGACAGAGTTTGGCCAACATGAATCTTCTTCAGTGCAGCTTGGTTCTTGTTGGCGGACTTATCCGTTAGATGACCGCCAGGTAGGATTGCCTTCAGTAGGCTGCCTTCTAATTCAACGAAGACATCGTCTTCCGTCTTTTGGCTAACCTTTCCTGAAACGATATCTCCAACCTGGAGGTTCTTCAAAGCCACTTGCCTCTCCATGCCAAAGGCAGACGGATCCTTGCAGGAAACGACAAGTCGGTTTGAGTCCGCATCAACATCCAAAACATGAACTGTCACGACTTGTCCAACGCGAAAATGCTCCTTAGGGTCTTGAATGAAAGCTTCGCTCATCTCAGAGATTGGCAAGAAACCCCTGAGGGGTCCATAGAACTGCACAATAGCGCCGTTCTTTAGGAATGTGACAATTGTGCCCGGAACCTGCATGCCTAGCGAGACTTCGTCAAAAGACTTGATGGCAGGAGCATCTGAGTTGACCAGTGTCTTCTTCAAGGTAAGACGGAGCTGACGCTTGGTGAGGTCGGTAGACAGGACACGGGCCTTGACCTTCATACCTTCTCTGAACTTCTTCTCCGGATGCTGCAGACGAACATCTGAGAGGTGCATCTCCGACACAAGGCCAGAAATTCCCTCAGAAAGCTTCACAATCATACCATGGACACCATTCTCTCCAATAATGAGCTTCTCAATGGTGCCATTGACCACTTCGCCGATCGGAACATCTTCAAGACGAAGGAAGGGCTGATCCAAAATATTTTGCTCGAAAGACAGATGGAACACGCCGTCCATAGGGTTGTAGCCAACGACTCGTCCACGGTGGACGGACCCGACCTTGAAAGGGCCACTGGACTCGTATAGAGCATCGACCTTTCCATCCTTTACACGAGAAATGTGGACGAAGCCAGGAACATTCTTAATTCCAATGTCAACGAAGAGACCAATATCTGCTTCGACCTTTGTGACGGTGCAGCTCTCGACCAGCGAAGAGATTGGGAGAACGTCCAATGGAGATTTTGATTTGCTCTTTTCGCCCGCGGTCTTCGAGGTGAGTGACGAGACATGTTCCAATATTGAAATACCCAACTTAGGGTCCTTGGCCTCTGGGAATGTGCAGATGACACGTGCCTTGAACTTGGATCCAACCTTGTACTTAGCCTCCAGGTCCGCATTATTTGGGCCGTGACCAGAATGGATGAGATCAGCTGTCACGTCGAGAGACCCTAGTACCTTGCCGACAATACCTCTCCTAGACACATCGGAAACCAAGACATCGACAACAGTGCCAGGTAGAAATGTGTTAATCGTGGTGGCATCGCGTGGGAAATCCTTCAGATTTCCGAGCTTCTCGCTCCTGGTCGTTAATTGCACCACTTTGCCATTCACCGTCTTTCCGGTAACCAAGCACAACTGAACGGCGCCAGCCTCTAGTGTCCCCTTGGCCTCTTTCTTCGACAGAAATCCGCGAAGTTTGGAGCCAGCAATGCCTAGGTCCATAACATATCCATGGTCCTCAACACTGGCGACAGCGGCCATGACGGTGCTGTGCTCCACCACATCTCCTTCCGAAAGCCCAGCATTGGATTGCTCCGGGCGCAGAGACAGTTCAATTCGGCGCTTAGATTTCCCAACGAGGACTGCATCTTCTATCGTTGATACGACATATGCCCGAACGTACTGTCCAACGGTGAAAATATTTCGTAGCTCAACATCTGCATTGCCTTCTTGTTCTTCTTCGCTATCGTCGGCAGCGGCAGCTTCAACTCTTTTCGTTAGGGCAGTCGAGACGGCTGTGAGTGAGACGTGGCCTGTGAGATTGTTAGGCAAGGCGACCACTATGTCGAGGTCGTTGATCTCCCAAACTTGTCCAAGGACCAAGGAGCCTTTCACCAGTCGCTACCAATCGGTCAGTACATTGATCTAATCCTCGCGAGATGCTACGCCCGATGACTAATTTCGTACCTTGTAATTAAGACTCTCAATCTTGACAGCGTCTTCATCCCGAAGCAGTTTATCGAGGCCCTTCCCATCCTTGGAGGTTGATTTCCGCTTCTTCTTCTTTTGTCCTTTCTCTGCCTTGGACGGTGTCTCGGTTTCCTGTTCGAAGAGTGCATCATGCTTTGCCTGAACCTGGATCTGCTTGTGCTCGAGCGGAGATAGAACGCTTCCACCTCCCCGAGGGAACAGAGGCTCCTCCTCTTTCAATTTTGAAATGATTGGCACCGCAGGACTTGCGTTGGATGCTGCTTTGGGTGATTTGGTGGTTCCCTTGGCTTCACCTTTTGGCCTCTTGGACGGCCCTTCCTTGCCTCCAGGGGCGTCTTTCCGCTTGAGGGAGCTCATTTCTGTGGTTGGCGTGTCCAGTTGTCCGAGACAGAGCCGGATGCCTTTTTTGCAGATTGGAGCGTACGGGAGAGACAGACAGTAGGTAGATTTCAATTGCGACCCGCCAAAACTTTTTTTTCTTTCAGTTTGGGCAATTCTCCGCAGTGGCATCCTTATCGATAAGAGAATGGCGGATTTCAGGTGTGTGCCAGAGAGGCAGGCGGTGAGAGCAGCTCATTAGTGCTTGTTTTAGCCGTCGCCCAATGAATGAATCATGCATGCCAGCCCCCTGCAGTGTCGTCACTCCATTGGTGGGGTTCTAGGTTCAGCAGTCCAGCGGCTTGTTATCGCCTGGCCACGCAAGGCTCAAGGCAGCGGAATAACACCTAACATCAATCAACACACGTCAACACCAAAGACCGAAGCCAGAACAGCTTGCCTTTCTGCCCCCGAAGTATCCTCTGATCCTCGTAGGAGCATATTAGAGAGGTATGCCGTAATATGAGCCCCCGAAAGCGTGCACGGCCAAATCCTGCGGAAGCAAGCTCGACCAGCCTTCCCGCAGCGATGACGCCCTCGCAGCCGAGCAGCAGCAGCACAACGTCACAGCCGAAACCTCCAAGCCTCGCACCCTCGCAACCAAGCACAACCTCCCAGACCAGCAACATCTCGTCCCAGGCTACATTTCAGGGACCGTCCTCTTCAAATACGCCGTCGAGTGCAAAGGCAGAGTTCCAGCAACTGGCTGGCGGGGAAGTCCCGAGTACTCCGCAGAAGGGCCTGAAGCAGGTTCGTCTGGATCTGGCATTATATCATACATCACGACAACTAACAAGCAGGTCGGCAGGTCCACAAAGCTCGCAGCTGGTATGGCTCGTTGTCACGGAAGTCCCAGGCGTCTACACAGGTGGCCAAGGAGACCATATTGGGTGGGACTATGAAGCCCAGCTCGACACCCGACTTCAGCCGCTTCGACACCAAGAAGAGCATTGATACAGTGAACTTCGATCCACCCGATCATTCTACTACGACTTTACCAAACATACCCGAAACCGCAACAGATGCACCCAAGGAAGAGAGCAAGGCCAAGTTACCCCAAGAGAGTAGCATGAGTGGCGACTCGCAGAAGAAATCGGATGATGGGAACACTGAAAATGGAAAACCGGCGATGAATTCGGTGCAGGCAGAACATCCATCCGCAGAAGCTTCACAACCGCCGCCGACTGCATCGACGTCATGGCTGACATGGTTTGCTCGACCTTCGACCGCCACGGAAGCGAAGGCTCCAGAAGCCGAGGCTGCACCACAGGAAGCTCCGAAGGAGTCCGTGCAGCCACAACAACCGCCTGCCGAGCCCATGCAGATCGATACACGAACCCCGCCAGCAGTCGAACATCCCGAATCAGCATCCGGATCATACTGGTTCAGTTTCTGGCAAAGTGCAACTGTAGCCGCGACCAATCCATCTCAGGCGCCCGAGCCTACTGAACAGCCAAGTGTCACGAGCGAAGCGCCCAAAGAACCCGAGGACGCCGTGATGCAAGATGCTCCCCCTCCGCCAAAGCCAGACCCGTCTCCACAACCTTCGGCAGGTTCGACATGGGCATTCTGGTCGAGAGATACACCCAAGAAGTCTCCCGGAAAGCCAGACCAAGTTCAGGAGCCTGGCGAGCTAGCCGTCATCGGAGATGGATCTGAGACTCACCCCAAGCGAGCAAGTCAAATTGAGGTTAACGAGCCTTCTTCAAAGGCATCCTCGGTTAAAGATGGCAAGGGGAAGGATATTCAACCCAAGGCTAAAGCGCCAAAGAAGACCAAACGAGTCCGGCCACAATCTATGGAGATTGATGAGGCGTTGCCTATCCGCCCCGAAACGCCCAAATCAGACACCTCTTCCCTCAAGGGAGAATCAAGCACCAAAGCTGGTGCAAAGACGCCGATAGCAACCAAGACTTTGCCGTCAAATCTACTCCTACCATCTTTTGGTAGTACCTATCGTATGAAGGAGAATCCGTCAATACTGAAGCAAATCACACAACTCCTTCTGCGGACGCGACAATCGCCTGCGAAACATGTATTTCTGGCGAGAGAACCGCCCAAACTCAAGAAAGCTGTGGCGATTGGTGTCCATGGTCTATTTCCCGCAACATACCTGCGACCAATGATTGGCCAGCCCACAGGGACATCGATCAAGTTTGCGAACCATTGTGCAGATGCTGTCCGGAGATGGGCCGACTCTCACGGATGTGAGGACTGCGAGATTGAGAAGGTCGCTCTTGAAGGAGAGGGCAAGATAGGGGAGCGAGTAGAGAATCTATGGAAGCTGCTCCTAAATTGGATAGAGCACATACGCAAGGCAGACCTGATCATGCTCGCCTGCCACTCCCAGGGCGTTCCTGTCACGATCATGCTGGTTGCGAAGCTGATCGAGCTGGGCATCATCACCACCGCCAAGATAGGGGTATGCGCGATGGCTGGTGTCTCGCTGGGGCCATTCCCAGACTATAAATCCGGCATGGGTATGCTGATGGGCTCCGCTGCCGAGCTTTGGGACTTCGCCAATTCCGAGAGCGAGGTATCGAAGAGGTACGAGAACTCGCTGAAGGTCATCCTTGGGTACGGAGTCCGGGTCACCTACATTGGGAGCATCGACGATCAGGTCGTCCCGATGGAGTCTGCTGTCTATTCACCAGCCAACCACCCGTACATCTACCGAGCTGTTTTCATTGACGGCCGAATACATGCTCCAGACTTGTATGTGAACCACAGAAGACTTATCATTTCTGTATATTTGCTGACTTTCATATAGCATTGCACACCTTGTCGGATTTGCGCTGAAGTTGCGCAATCTTGGCATCTCAGACCACGGGCTTATACGAGAGCTCTCCATCTCCCTAGCAGGGAGTCTGTATGGAGGGGAAGGGCACTCTCGTTTGTACGATGATGGCCAGGTCTACGAGTGCGTGATACTCCTTTCTTACCTTCACGATATAGTGTGTGCTAACACAATTCCAGTCTTGCCGTGACCCATTGTCTTGAGACAAGCAACGTGGGCAACTTGCCCTGCGACATTCAGAAGTACGAGGGGCTCGCTAACCCCAACCCGTACCACCTGCCGTGGATTATGCGCGGCCTGCTGGAGGAGGACTTTGTCAAGACGGAGCTGACGGCCGAAACGACGGAGCTCGTCAAGCAATTTGATGACTGGAAGCCGGTGACCAAGGCATTGAAAGACGTGAAGTATAGACTAGAGGCTGTACGGTCGAAGCTATGAGTGCACTGCACGAATAACGATATATATGCATACATCAGAAGCGACGGACTAGAGCGCGCATGTATATGGTGTATGGGGATACCCGGGGAACGGCGTATAGAGCTCTGCATTGGTAACACTGGAATATGAATATGAATTGTAGCAACTCACGACATTATTCTTTGTCGTCATTCTTTATACATGGTGAAGAGGCTCTCCGGATATGCTATTCAAGATGCCGAGATTGGCCGGCAGTCTCCCTGGGTGTGTATCTCCCGACTGCAACCGGGGACCATCAGGCTGCATTAGCGCTGTAGCCGTGGCCTGAGTTGTGGGCAGAGTGTGGTGGCTGCCTAGCGGCCTTTTGGAGGCCTTGTTACCGTGCTGTCGGATCCTCAAAGGGGGGACATTTTGCCTCCCCTCGGTCCCCTCCCCAAGCAAGAATCACTAGCGGGGAGTCGGCCTCGTCTAGATGGACCCCCTGCAGCCCAGCCCAGCCCAGCCCAGCCAGCCTAGCAGCCTTTCTTCACCATATCTCACCACCGCATGCGCACGCATTCAACTCGCGCAAACCACTCGGGGATTTTTCTCTTCTCCTTAACGTTATACTCCTGTCAGACGACACTTACCAAGATACCCCCCTTCAAAGTTGCATTGCATTTTGCATATACCGTGAGCGATCACCGCATCACATCACAGCACATCCTTTGTATACTTACTCTACTGGCTTTATTTTCTTTGCATCCACAACCGCCTTTCATTCTTGTTTGCCCCATGTCGCGATAGCTACAAGCCATCAACGCGCGTCCCTCTTTTTTCCACCCCACGTTGAACAAGGCTGCAACCGCCCACCCGGACGCGGCCCCGGTCCCCAGCTCCCTCGAGCCTCGAGCCTCGAGCCTCGAAAACCTCGCACCACAAAAGAGAGAAAGATGCCGCTCTTCTCCAAGAAGCCCATCTTCAAGTCCGTTGCCGTCCAGAAACCTCGCATCGTCGAGGAGAAGGTCGAGGCTCCGAAGCCCCCGCCGCAGAAGCTCAAGACCTCGCTCCCGCACCTCAGCAACGGCGGCGGCGGCAGCAGCCGGCTGCACGCGACCAGCGCCGCCTCGTCGCCCCGCGCATCCCCGAAGCCCAACGGCCACGGCCACGGCCACAGCACGAGCAATGGACATGGACATGGCAGCCGCCTCAGCCCGGCCGTCGCGGCCGCCCGTTTCCGCGGCAAGAGCGCCAGCCCGTTCCCCAGCTCGTCGGACGAGAGGGGCGGCGTCGGCGCCTCGTCGCGCAAGCGCAAGGTGAACGCCGGGGCCCTGCGCAAGTCGCCTGCGAGTGACCGGGTCGAGTTCGGCGAGGACTCGGAGCCGGACGACGACGACGACGACTGGGAGGACAGGCTGGACGCGCGCAAGCGCCGCAAGCAGGCGGCGCGGCAGAACGGCGCCGGTAGGACGGACCCGAAGCGCGAGCTGCGGCACCCCGTGCTGCTGGCTGCCGGAGCAGGGGAGTCGAACGGCGCGAGTAAGGCTGTGGTCGACAAGGAGGATGGCGTGGTCCTGAAGAAGAAGAAGGGCGAGCTACGGTTCATACATGCTGCGGATGTCGCGTCGCTGAAGCACAAGTGCCTCCCGACACTGGGCGCAAGTGAGGACGAGGTCGCGGTCGAGCTGCAGTATCCCGGCTCGCGGCAAGTGGAACGGTACGCTGCGCATTCGAGATGAACGCCTGGTTGGCTTGACTACACGATGCTAACATATATGACAAACAGGTACGAGCTAGTAGAGGGCAAGGACAAGATCGATGCCGTTCGCGATATCATTAGGGTTGTGAAGGCCGTCATCGACACCTACCTGACCGACGACGAGGCCTTAGCCTTCAAGAACACAGTCCGCCAGCTGGAGCGGACATCGGCGCGGAACGTCTGGGACGCAAAGGGCTTCAAAGCCGCGCTAAGAGAGTACAACGATCGCTTGCGCGCACTGCTCGACGACGGCACCATTGCTAGAAATCTAGCTAACATACATGAGATTCCCGCTAATCTCGTGGCGCTCATCCTCAGCCAGGTGTACGACCGCACCGTGGCCCCCGACGTCGAACGCCTGCGGAAATACGAGAACGGTACCGACAATGTCTATGGCGAGCTCAACGCCCCCTTCAGCTCCATGGTCTTGGCAGACCAGTTGAAGATGACTTCGGATCAAGTCTTTGTCGACCTCGGCTCGGGTGTCGGAAATGTCGTTCTGCATGCGGCTTTAGAAATCGGCTGCGAGAGCTGGGGCTGCGAGATGATGGAAGAGCCATGCAACCTGGCCGACCGGCAGCTAAAGGAATTTGAGTCGCGGTGTGAGCTCTGGGGAATTGCCGCAGGCAAAGCAAGTCTCGAGAGAGGCGACTTCCGCAAGAACGATCGCATTCTCCGGGCCCTTGCGCGCGCCGACGTTGTCTTGGTGAACAACCAAGCCTTCACATCTCAGCTGAACGGTGATCTTGTGCAGATGTTTCTAGATCTCAAGCAAGGCTGCAAGATAGTCTCTCTCAAGACGTTCGTCCACGACTTCAAGAACGCCTCATACAACAGCAACGATGTGGCCACCACGATATTGGATGTCGAAAACCATACATACCCCGAGGGGTTCGTCAGTTGGACAGGAGTTGGCGGAACCTATTGCATCTCCACGAGGAAGTGAGGTCTAGAGGTGACGATCAGCAATGGTCGCTGTATATATTATACAAGGTGTATGGGGTTTTATGTATCAGCAGCCTTGGCAACTTTTCGGCTTGCTTTGTATAGACTGTCGGCATTGCATAGAAGCGGATTCGCGTGGAAACGGCATGTTGGAAAAATCGGGAGGGGGATTCTCTGGATGAACACTTACTTTTGAGTAAAAGCATTGGGCTTATAGCAGAATAATGTATATGACAGCATTCTCGCGCCACATACTCCCTTTGCCCAACTGTAGATAGTGTGTTCTTCGGCTTCGGTCATCGTCGCTTTGCAAATAGCGGCTCGTTGGCGAGGTTCATTGCTTCAGCCTCTTGGCCCATTCTCTTCATCCATCTATCGACCAGCTGCTTATTCTCCGCCTGCACCTTGGCCTTTTGCTGCTCGGCGACGTTGAGTTGTAGGTTCAACGCCAAAACCTCATCTTGTAGGTCCTATATCATACCGTAAGCGACTCTTGAGCCCTGTCAGTAGTCGAAACAGCTGCTCTGCCATACCTCTAACAACTTCGTCTTGCCTCGAAGCTCCTCCTCTTTATCCCGGAGCTTCACCCGCAACGTGTTCCTCTCCGCCGTCATCTCTCGGATCGCCCTGTTATCCGTCGTCTTGCCCGAGCGCAGCTGGTCCCGCTCCTCCTCCGCCTTTCGCAGCCTCGACTCTAGCTGGCCTTTTGCCCGCAACGCCTCGGCGAGATCGAGCCTCAGCCGCGCGACACCGGGATCCGCATCCGTCGCCGCAGCCTTGCCTCCAGCTCCCGTATCTTTCGTGGTGGGTGTTGATGTCAGGGGCGAAGACGCCTGCCATGCGGCCTTCTCGGCCTCGAGGGCGGCGATGCGGTCGTTGAGCTGGGAGCCTGGAGGGTAGAGGCGCGGGTGTTAGTCCTCGTGATAGCTTCAACCGGGGTGAAGCGGGGCGGGGCAGCCTACAAGCCAACACCAGATCCCGGTTGACGGGGTTGTTTTTCTCTGCTTCGCGCAGTGATGACAGGTACTCATCTCTCCAGCTTGGGGGCATAGTGGTCGGTTGCAAGATTGAGCTGTCGGGCTGCGAGCAGGACGAGGAAATCGGCGGTCCTAAGATATCGTAGTTGGTGTTGGAGGGGTCAGAAGGGAGGAGGACCTCCCATGAGGTTGAGAGGTCGCGGGGTACTTCTCCTCTGGGAGCGGTGGGGCTATGATGCTGCATGACCGCTAAAGACCTCACCTAAGGTGCGATAGCAGGGGTAGTCGTTAGTGGTCTGTGCTGTGGCTGCATAAGGTGAGGCCGACCTCAGTGAGCTCCAAGCTTCGACAGGCTGCTCCAGCCACCATCCTCTCACTCAACATCCACAGCTCGAACAACCGCTGTTACTTCTCAAAAGCTTAGCGACGAAGAGGGGTGTCTATATTTTCAGACTGATGGGCAACATGAGGGCGAGGTGATCGAAGATGGACGCAACTCATCCCACGGCAGGCTGGGAGAAGGTCGGCGAGGTCTTCTACCGCAAGATCCAGCTCTATACGGCCGTCTTTGACCAGGACCTGGACCTGGACAGCCACGTTGTTGCCGGAGCACTCTATGGGGGTGCTATTGGTATGTTGACTTATCTCATCCCAGCTTCGAATGCCATCCTGAGCGGCTTTCTCCATTGTATCGTCTTTCATATCCAGCCACCTGGTTGCATTCACAGGTGCTTCGTCCGAGCTTCACATCATCTCTCATTGCTCTCCATTTCCACTGCTGGCTCTTCACCTAGCGAGGCAGCTGTTTACTTGTACTCCCAGATAGCATGTACTAACTTGAAGCAGCATTGTTCCGCGACGAGAGCAAGATCGTCGCATACCGAGCAAGCAAGTCATCAAAACCAAGCATAGATATCTATAGCTGCGCTGGGAAGCTGATCCGAAGCATCGCCTGGGAGAAGGGCTCAATCAAGGGTCTTGGCTGGTCAGAGGACGAAAAGCTCCTCGTGGTGACCACCGACGGTTCCGTGCGGTGTTACTACGATCTCCAGGGAGAGTTTACCCAGTTCTCTCTGGGCAACGGCGCCGAAGAATATGGCGTCAAGTCCTGCCGGTACGTAGACCTAGTATATTTCATACCTCACTCCATACAGGAAACCTGAGCCTGACCGTGACAAGATTCTATGACAATGGACTTGTCGCCCTTCTATCTAACAACTCCTTGGTTTCTGTGTCCTCATATGACGAACCACGCCCGAAATTGCTGGCATCCGTCCCTGAGGGCGACGTGCACTCATGGGCAATTATCCCTCCTAACTTTACCCTTTCTCGCTCAGTCGAGGTTCTGCTTAGTATAGGACAGACTATTTATGTGGCCGACTCAACCGAGTGTGAGGACCGTTTCTTAGACATCGGTCCATTTTCCCATATCAGCGTCTCTCCTAATGGAAAATTTGCCGCCTTGTATACGGAGACGGGAAAGGCGCACGTCATCACAAGTGACTTTCAGACTCGTCTGAGCGAGTATGACTCCAAATCAAAAACCCCTCCTAAATATCTGGCATGGTGTGGTAACGATGGCGTCGTCATCGCTTGGGAAGATGAGGTTCACATTGTCGGCCCTGGAGGTGCAGTCACTCAGTTCTTCTATGACGGCAGGATACATGTCGTCCAAGGTAAGAATCCTCGGTGTCAGTATGTCGGGCTGTTGATTGACATGAGACAGATCACGATGGTGTGCGTATCATAACGAATGATGTTTGTGACTACCTACAAAAGGTACCTGAAGTCACAGACAAGGTATTCAGATTTGGGACCGAATCTCCAGCTTCCATCTTGCTGGACGCAGTGGCGCAATTGGAGATTCAGTCCCCCAAAGCAGACGACAATATCCAGCTCATTCGATCAAATCTTGTCGAGGCTGTAGACACATGCGTTAATGCCGCAGGTCATGAGTTCAGTGTTCACTGGCAGAAGCAGTTGCTCAAGGCGGCGTCTTTCGGCAAGTCGGTCCTGGACATATACAACAGCGATGATTTCGTGGATATGTGCGAGACATTGCGCGTTCTCAATGCTGTGCGCTTCTACGAGGTAGGCCTACCGCTGTCGTACGAGCAATATCAGCGACTGACCCCCGAGGGCCTCATCGCTCGGCTCCTCAACCGCCATGAATACCTTCTTGCTCTACGCATTGCAGGCTATCTGCATCTACCCACTGACAAGATTTACGTCCACTGGGCAAGTGCCAAAGTGCGAACAGGCTCTGAGGACGATGACACCATCTGTCGACTCATCGTAGACAAGCTGGGTGGGAGGCCAGGCATTTCCTTTGAGGTTATTGCCAGGGCTGCATATGACGAAGGACGCGGTAGACTGGCCACCGAGCTGCTCAACCACGAGCCACGTGCGGGTCGTCAGGTACCACTTCTACTCAGCATGGAGGAGGATGAGCTCGCCCTCGACAAAGCCATCGAGTCCGGCGATACGGACCTCGTGTACTTTGTGCTGCATCAGCTGCGTCGCAAGCTACCACTGGCCGCATTCTTCCGCACAATCAACACACGACCGGTCGCCACCGCGCTGGTGGAGTCGTCTGCCCTTCACGATGGGGACACGACACTGCTCAAAGATCTCTATTACCAAGACGACAGACGGCTCGATGGCGCATCGGTGTTCATGAATGAGGCTCTCAAACAGCCGGATAGCCGGACAGCGACCGATAAGCTGGCGCTGGCGGCGAAGCTGCTTAGCGACAACAGCAAAGAAAACGCCTTTGAGCTGGCTGCGCTCAAGGAGGCGGCGACCCTCCTCCGCATGCAGGAGGCGTTCGACCGGGACCTCACCGACACGTTTACGGGCCTGAGCGTCAACGAGACGATGTTCAAGCTGATTCGTCTAGGATACAGTGGGCGGGCGAAGAAGATCCAAAGCGAGTTCAGGGTGCCGGAGAAGGTGGCTTGGTGGATACGGTATGTTCTGCGTTTGGTGTTGAACTTTCGACCTCGGGTACGAAACTGACCGCCGTCTACAGACTACGCGCATTTGTAGCGAAGCGCGACTGGAACGAGATTGAGGAAATCTCCAAGCAGCGAAAGAGTCCCATCGGGTGGGAGGTGAGAGCATCATCGAAGTGAATAGTCTTTGACTCATCAGCTAACTCTCTCTCCAAATAGCCTTTCTACAATCTCGTCTTGCAAGCCGGCAACCCACGTCTGGCAGCAACCTTCATCCCCAAGTGCACCAATCTCGAGCACGGCGCCGCCATCACCATGTACGAGAAGTGCGGCATGCGCGTCAAGGCGGCCGAGGAGGCGGTCAAGGCGAAGGACGCGGATGCCTGGACTAGGCTGCTCGACGCGGCTGGCCGAGGCACGCAGGAGGGCAGGGAGATCGAGCGGCTGGGGCAGACTGTTTTCAAGAAGTGAAGTGAGTCGGTGCTGTGACCGACCGTCCATGTGGCGGCGTTTGCTGCCTAGGATCATGGCGCCCAGCAACTCTATCTCCGTACCAAGGTGGTCTCATTCGAACACATGCTCGGCTGTATCGCCTTAGAACCCACGCATATGATGAGATGGATGAGTCGTAGATGAAGAGCTATAGTTATTAATCGAAGCAAGATTTTCTGCCTGCGGGCACACATGGTCAATATGAAAAGATACAGAGATAATCAGCATGGCCCCTGCACTAAGGATGACATGTTCGAATCAAGGAGATGCAAGCCCTTTTTCTTTTCACATAACTTTTCGAGACTTTCTAGGCATATTTAGTGAGATCTGACTTGCTGTCTATTCTCTATATTTTATATACATATATATCTTTTTTAAAAAAAAATTTAATTATAAGTCAAGAATAAAGATGACAGCAAGTCATCCCTGAACAGTGAAATGATAATACTCACCCATATACATATTCCATTTACTCACTCATGCATATATCGAGCTTAGATACTCTTCAACATGATAGATAGATGTTTATACTCTTCTCTCATTGCTATTATTAGATATTTGGTATATAGCCAGCTTTCCAGCCAGGTATAGACGGATAATGTACCATATAGTCACTCATTGGTCTGTCAGTGCCAACATTGTCCTGCTGCAACTGCAACTCATTAGAGTCCCCCGCTCTCCGCTTATCTCAAGCGAAGACAATGCCAATACAAGCGAACGCGTACACACATGTCTTTCGTGACGATGACGATGGTGATGCAAAGTGGACTCGCTCAGGGAGTCCTTCCCTCTCCCCGTGATTCCAGTGTTTGTTGAACCAGTCTGCTTGTTCTCCCTCGGCCATCGTCCATCCATCCAGTCCAGCCAGCCAGCGGGCCATCCATCACCTCTGGAAATCATTTCCTCCGTTCCCTCATACATGTAAATGCCAAGAATGCCGCACCTCCCTTCAACTCCTGGCCGCTGATTTGGCCCGTGTAGTAATGATGTCGTCTCTGACCAACGAAAGAATAGAGGCTTCCTCAAAATGATCGCTTCAGCTGCTGATGCAAATGCAAAGACAACACAACAAAACGCAACATGCCCCCGCCCTCCATTTAACAGTTGTGACTCGACACTTGCCGCCCTTGGGGATTACAGAGAGAAGTTCAGTCAATCTCAGCGCCAGCAACACCGTCCAGGCTCTCCATTCGCGTGATGCCGCCGTCGCTCGCCCGCGCTCGCAACCCGCTGCCGTCAAAGACCCAGGGACCGGCATCGTTCCTAGGGGTGATCGGTCCTTCGGTCCCGTTCAGACCAGGCACGCCGCTGCCGCCGTTCGGGCTCGGCGTCCGCGTACTTCGTCCACCGCCGCTGCCCGACGCCGAGGCGCCGGCGGCTGCGTTCGGTATCGGCACTGGCTGCGAGACGGCGTGCGAGGGCACCTGGCGCGTCGAGTCGATGGTCGAGGGCGTGCTGGCACCCGTGTTGGAGGCCGAGGCAGTCGAGACGGCAGTGTTGATCCGTACGGGCTGGACGGGCGCCGGCTCGTCGAGCTGCATCTGCATCGTGACGTCCATCTCGTCGTCGACCTGCGCGGGGCCGGGGCGCGGGCTGGCCGTTGGCGTCTTGCGTTTCCTCTCTGACGAAGGCCGGGCCCTGTCCGACACCGCTCTGGACCGGTCCGTCGACCGTCTCCCGCTGCCTTCTGCCGACGTCTGCGGAGCCTGTAAGCTGTCCCTCGGAGCCGTCGATGATGGCTCGGCTGTGTCTCCGTTGGTTTTGCCGTCCGCCTCCTGGCCGTCGGCTTCGCTCTCCTCCTGCTCCCACTCCTCTGGGTCCTCCACCTCGGCCTCGAGATCGGCGGCCGCTCTGCAATTTGGACATATGAAGATGGGGTACTGCGGCGACGAGAGCAGGCTGCGTATGCATTTGTAATGCCACGTGTGCGAGCAGGGAGCCACGAAGAGACATTGGCATGGCTGTGAATGAGACGATTAGTTAGATGTGTCTATAGTGATCGGATGGAAGGAATGTTACTCACAGCAATCGAATTTAGACAGATGGAGCAGTCCTGAGAATATGACTGGGCCGAGCCCTCGGTCTTCTCGTTCGACTTGGTTATGTTTCGTAACCTTTTGTGCGCGGTCATGCTGTATCATCTGGTCAGCTCTTCCATCCCACTCACACAGACCTTGGATCGAAAGGGAAGAGAAGCATACTTGAACGTGTTCAGCTTGTTCTGCCACCCCCGGTTCAGCTCCAGCCGCATCTTGACACACCGGAAGATCATCTCCTCGCCGCCCTTGAAGTCGATGCCCAGCTGGACAATGTCGCCGTCGTTGACGGGGAAGGGCTTGCTCTCGGTGCCGGGCGGGCTGAGGCGGATGTGGTTGAGGAACGTGCCCGACGAGCTCTTGACGTCGCGGATGTACCACTTGCCGCCCTCGTACCAGAACTCGCAGTGCCGCCGGCTCACCACCTTGCTCTTGAAGCCCACCGGCGCCGCGCTCGGCACGTTGACCGGCACCGGCGGCTGGCTGTCCCGCTCGCTGTACCGCCCCACCCGGATCACCTCGCTGCCCGTGGGCAGCGTCCGCGCGATCGGCGTGAACGTCAGCGAGGGCCGCGTCGCGCGCGGATCGTAGAAGGTTGAGAACCGGATCGAGGGCAGGATGTCGAGGGGCGAGGTGCTGCCGTTGGCGTGAGTGCCCCCCGCGGCCGTGGTGTTGTTGCCATTCGTGCTGGCTGCTGCCGTTGCTGCTGCCATGGCGTCCCCTGCAGTGGCAGACCTCGTACGCGTCATGCTGGTGCGCCCGGGAGTGCTATCAGCTGCGGAGGCGGTGTATCCAAGCGAGGTCGAGTCTGTATTTCTGCCTGCAATTCCCGAAGTTGCATTCGACGACGAAGACTGGGATGCAGTCGGGTTGGAGGGCCGTTCGGCGGCTGAGGAGGAGCCCAGCGGATGGGACAGCGTGGGCACGAGCGAGAAACGATGTGAGTGCGATGCGGTATTCGAGGTGGTCGTGGTCAGGGTCTGGGTGGTGGTCTGAGTGGTGGTCGTGGTTGAGGTTGTAGTGGGCGAGTAGGAAAGCGAGCGGGTGAGGCTGGCGGTGGGTCGTCCCGCCTGCTGGGCAGCTACAGAAGCAGAAGGCGGAGAGGAGGTGCTGGGCGAGGTGCTGCCGCCGTTGCTGTGCTCGCGTGACAGCAGATGGTTCTGTGTATAACTGCGGAGATAGCTGAGGCCCCGTAATCGGCTGGTCCGTGAAGGCGATGCAGGTGAGACGTGGGAGGAGGAAGAAGGGCCTGCTGATGCTGATGCTGATGCTGGGGATGTAAGGCCCGCGGGTGAGGGCGCGGGCGCAGGCTGGGTGAACATTTAATCTGCCTTATTAGCGACCTCCCTAGCTGATCGAATGCCAGACCAGATCAGACCAGGCCAGGTGAGAGGAAAGCGAGGCTTGGGCTTATTAATAAAATGAAACAAAAGAGGGCAAGCCCTTTTGGACTGCGTAGGTATTATCTAAGACCGCTGTCCTTAGGAGACGCCTTTAACAAGGGAGGTAAGGCAAGTAAAATAAACGCAGGCGGGATCGGGGTGGGAGTGGCTCGGCTCCTCTTTCGATGCCCCGGAATTGGCTGTTTCTTTCTTCTTTCATGCGAGTCCAAGTCGTCCCAGAGTCAGTAATCAGGATGAGACAGGCAAGGTAGTAATAATAACGAGGGTAAGGCAGAGTAAAAGTCAAAAGGCCCAGGCCACTGTGGAAACGATCCTCCTCCACTAAGAACGGCGGCGGCGACGTTCAGCTGCGGGCTGGAATGATGAAATCTGACGCGGACAGACAGCTACCTGCTGGACAGAAAGCGTAGGCGCCGCAGCTCTTCTTATTAATTGACTGAGTGACACCTCCAAAGGCACACTCAGCCGAAGAAGTCTTTTGGTGAAGAGCTTAGGTGAAGAGATGCAAAATGACGGAACCAACCCCTCAGAACGTCAAATGAGAGAAGCTGCTTTTCAAGGCTTGGTGAGGAGAACGGTGGTCTATGTTCTATGCCGTAGTCGAAGCACTAAACAGTGTAGATGTCGATGCGCAAAGTCAAAGCTGATGATGCGGCGGCGCAGCTTTTCACTTTTTCAATGCAGTCGAGAGAGTTCGTGCATGAGTAACTCTGGGCGTGGGGCTATGCTATGCTCTCCCCCTCGGTCTCGTCTTGTCTTGTGTTGATTCAGTGATGCGCATGCAAGCAGGCAGGCAATTAGAGATGGAGTAAACGAGGTGTTTCAAGCCGTAGTCGTGCTGCCGTATCAAAAAAGACACCGCCCTTAACGCAAGCTTGCAGGTCGTAGAATCCTGAGGGCCTAGAACAAGCTGCTGAACAAGCTCGCGTCAGGTCGGGACTGTCGAGTCCTGAACAACAAGGCGCAATGAAGTCGTCAAGACACGAGACGACAGGCTCAAGATAGCCCGTGCTTGGGAGTAGAGGGACGAAACAAAACAATGCCGGGAGGTCGACGACGACGACAATTGCTGGGAAACGAATAACGAATAACGAATAACCCGGAGATGGGCCTGGCCTGGCCTGGCCTGGCTACTCGTTCGTCCGTCCCAGGTAAGTAAAGCCGGGGCAGCGAGCCAACAACAACAAGCAGTCTATCGATCCAATAACACAAGCAGCCCGCCCGCTAGCAACTTTGGGCCAAGTGCAGGAGATGGCGGCGGGGGCCTTCTCTCTTAAACGAAATGGACAAGATGCAGGAGCTGCTAATTCTGTCAAGGTCTGTGATAACAGGGAAGGGGAAGGGATCGTGTGCCTCTTGTGGAAATCCTTCCCGAGGTTATTGATGTTGTTTGCTGCAGACAGAAATCTGCATTTCAAGCGTCGTCCGGATTATGCTTGATCAACAACCCCGATATCTACTCATATATCTACCGTACTAGATCTATCAGATGGTCTAGTAGCCGTTGCGGAAAGCCTGGCTGGTTGGTAATGAGAGGTTGGTCTGCCCCGTCTTTTACCGTAGTCTCGTCAATCAGTCAATTAGCAGTAGTCATTCATGCCAGTTGTGTGGCAGCCGTCAGCGTCTCATGCCCTCTTGATCTTTCTCTGTCTTGATTCAGTCAGTCCAGTAATAAGCCCAGACCCAGACCGCCGCAGATGCATGTCGGGCAGGCGGTTCGATGCTTGCCACAGGGCGCGTCTGTCTCTCTGCACCATTACTAAACCAGAATAATCCAAGCTTGACCTGCACTCGGCGATCCCTCGTGGCGTGCATCAGACCCAAACGTTGATGTTCCTATTCCTATTCCCCGTCCTCATCTTTGCCTCCGTCTCTTCACCTTAGCAGGTTAGAGAGAAAGGCAATTACTGTCATCCAGATTTCCATCCTCTCATCCCTTGAAATATTGGAGCAATCCGCATGACGCTTTGGTTTCCCCAGGGTCTCAGCCCGGTGCAGGACAAGCGCGGCGGATCTGAGCCAGCTAGACTATTAGACCCTTTCTTAGGGGAGCAAGATGATACGACAATGAAGATGACAGCAGCGCAGTGGGTGGCCCGTGGGCAACCACTGGAGAGGGAGACCTTTGCGACTCTCTGATAGGCCCCGGCTGTCCCTACCGTCCCCGATCCCACCACATTATGTTACATACTGCGTATACGCGGCGGGAATCCTGCTGCTACAAGAAAAGCCCTGAGGACCCCGTGGACTTGCCCCTACTGCCGCTTCAGCCGGGGGGGATTGAAGGGAAGCTGGACTTACACCGAGGAGGTCTCTTCCTCACCTTAACTCCGGATTCCTCGGGGTGGTGATGAAATGGAATTGTTGGCTCTGGACGACACTCTCGAAATCGCACGAAGTAGTAGATAAGTTCCTTTCTTCCGTCCATTATGTTGCTCTCATAACTAGGCATCTCGCATAGAGTAACACCCAGGTTTTCTAGCATGTGACCAGCCAGGGGGGCTATTATTATCCCTGCTTGGCCTGTAGGCTGTCAGCCTATCTCAGCACCTGGAACCCTATTGAAGAACCATCGTGACCTAAATGCGCGCATCTTAGAAGAATTGTGAGAGATAACATGGGTATGAGATAGATCAAGTATCCGCAGAAAAAAATGGTATTATATGCTATGCAGATTCCGCTAGATGCAGTTTTGGGTACAAATACAAATAGGTACATGGCTCAATCGTAACATGATCAACAGCATATCAACACTCTTGCTCCGACATCACTCATCACTGCTCTCCGCATCCGTTACGGTTGGTTCTGTAGAGAAAATGTTAGCAATGGGCTCAAACAGCTGGTGTAGGCAACGTCAGAACGTACTCCGTGAGATCCCCGGCTCCGGCGGCTCTAGGGGATCCGGCTTGCTGCGTCCTGCTGCTGCTGGCGTCTTGCCCTTGCTCTTGGAAGACAATTCCTCTTTTTCGCTATCAAGCTCATCTGGGCCCGGATCAGTGACGGTTGCTTTCTTTGGCGAAATCTCCTTCTGGCGTCTCTTGACAGCTTCGAGCTCTGCATCGACTTCCTTCTCTGCCTCCTCGAGGTCCTCTTCTAGTTGCCTAACTTTGGTTGAGTCTGAGACCGTAGAAGGTCCCGGTTTAGAGCTGGTTGCAGACTTCCTGGGAGTAGCCTCCTCCTGATCTTGCGGTGGTACAGACGTTGGCGCTGCAATCTTTACATCACTCAGTGGACGTCTTGATCGAGATCGAGATCGCGATATCCGCCCGTGTGCTTCCCTGTCAAGCTCACCCGCGCTATCACTATCAGTTGCGAGACGAGGCTGTTCAACGCGCACTCGGACATGGCGCCGCCCATCCTCATCAAGAGCCTGGCTTCTCATCGATCCCTCAACCTTCTCTCGTCGTGTCAGGCGCCTGTCGCCGGGCTTTGGATCGTTGTGTTTGTGGATGATAACCGGGGGTACAGCTGGGCGCCCGGTCGAGTCAACATAAGGCTCGCGATATGATTCACGGCGGGTAATGCCCTTCTTCGCGGGTTTCTTCCTCACATCATCCCACTGGTCCCAGACACCAGTCGAGTCCGCATCGGCTGGGTAAGTCGGCGTGTCTGCTCCAGTGCTGGATCGACGGGCTTGGCGGGCTTGCTCTCGTTCAGCAAGCTGTACCCAGGGATCATGAGCCGACCGTTCCTTTTCAGTTGCACTAGGCTTGCCACCTTCAGCAGGCGTTGAGGCGCCATCTCGGCTTGTCTTTGAGATAGGAGGTCGCTTAGCAATACGCTCGTTCTGAGCGGCAGTCTCTTGCACCTCGTGCCACTTCTCCTTCTTGGTTTGCTTGAACGTGTCGAAGTTGCCGAGAATATCAGCCTCTTCTTTGTCAGTGATTGGGGCTGGTATTGTTGTCTCAGCTGGCTTCGGATCCTGGGTGGTGACCGTCGTCCTCTTTGATACTTTCTTCGATTTGGACGGAATTTCCCATTCATCATCGAGGACTTCGGGCTCAGCTTCGATACCTTCGGGCCCGCCGAAGTAGTATGATGTGCTGGTAGCCGGCTTCTTGACCTTGTGCCTACTAATACCTGGCACTTTGGATGCAACATGTTCAGCTCTCCCTGTATCGTCGCTTCGAGATCTCAACGGCTCCGTGTCTACAATTACAGAAGTGCGAACAGACTTGGGCTTGGGCTTCAACGTATCCGAAGCTATGGGCTCGGAGAGTAGATCGCCATCAGTGTCAAATATTCTCTCCCTCAATCTGTCAGCTTCGGATACATCCAAAGCCTTGCTCTTCTTTCTGCGGTGTCTTGATGACGTGGAGTTATACGAATACCACTCTTCAGTCTGATCATGTGGTTCGTTAGCTCCAGTGGCACCTTTGTGAGGGCCTTTGCTAGTTGCTCGAGCTGGAGAAGATGTGCGGTCATATCGTGTAGAAGGTCCGTCAACTCCAGGAAAATCTGATGAGTCAGGTACCTGAGTAGAATGTGCCTCTTCCGTTCTCGATCGTCTTTCTTCAGATGCCACTTTACCTTTTCTCTTTTTGCCCTTCTTCGTGGCAAAGCCTCCCCATCCATCATCGTCGCCCACGACTTCGGGAGGTGGTGAGCGATATTCTCGCTCATCATCCGCATCCCTTTCAGTGAAAAGCTTCCCCCTGGAAATAGAAGCGCGTCTGATGTTGCGGATAGTCTCAGTTTCGGCAGTCCTTTCATCCCTACGCGCTTCCATCTCCTCTTGACTTTTCTTCAACTTCGCAATTTCCTCTTCGCGCTTGAGGAGCTCTTCTTCTCGCTCTTTCGCTTGCTTCGCTGCCAGTTCCCGCTCCTTCGCTTGAGCTTCCGCAGCTGCCTGTAAATCTTTCAGCTCTCTTCGTTGCTTCTCAAGTTCAAATTTCTCGCGTTCGAGTTGAAACCTCTGTCTTTCCAATTCTAGCGCTTCCCTGTCTCTCTGTAATTGTGCCTGATGACCGGAGAAATCTGGCGGCGGTGGAAAGAATTGAAATGATGAGCCATTGGGTTGATATGGATGAGGAACCTCAGGATGATCATCCTCGGCATCTGGTTGATCGCCTCGCCACGTAAACCGTGTTTCCGCCTCTTCACCGTCCCGTCTAAGATGAACGGGTTCTTGGGCCCAATCATCGTAGTAAGGAGTCTCCCCGGCTAAAACCGGATCATCATATTCGTGTACATCATCGTTAAAGCCATGATCGTGATATTCATCGTGCATCGGCATCCGCTGGGGTGCACTATGGCGACGCATCCATTCATCCCAATATCCTCCCTCAAACACCACAATATCTCGAACCATGTTTGGAGGTTGACTTGAACGACGGCTATTCACCTGACTTCCGTCATCCACGTGTGAGGTCCCATCTGCGGACGTGCTGTTACGTTTGTCTCGCTGCTTGCGGTGTATACTGTGAGAAACAAATCCGCCCTCACGCTTCCAGTTGACGACAGTCTCTTCTCCCGGTTTCTTATCATCCTGAATGGTAAGAGTTATCGTTGCATTATCGCTCATATCTTTATCATCTATGTTGAACTTTAAGCCATCCGGAAATCTCAGCTTGAAATTATCGGGATTCGACTCCTCATCACTGATATACGATGTAGCACTTTGAGACTCGGCATCAGGAGTGTTTTCTTTGAAGCCTACAGCTTTGGGGACTCGTCTGACGGGATTTCCATTTGCATTCCCGATCTGAGGGGTTTCTGGGGCTGGAAGTTGATGCTGCCGGGGAACCAGGGCATTATCCTCACTATTATTTCGCTGAAAAGCTCCCGGAGGCGGCGGTCTCGGAGGCATCGACATTGAGCCATTAGACATCCATGAATTTTGAGATTGGATTGCATTGGGACGTGGAGGAGCAGCAGGAGGTGGACCCACAGGACCTGTAGGACCTGGTCGTCGTCCTGGGCCATACGAATCCCAGTCATCATCGGGCCCTCCTCTCCTTGGGTGTCGACTTGGCCGCGGAGGAGGAACAATTATCCCCGGTCCTGCATGTTGTCGGATGAAATGCTGGACGTGATCAGGAAGGTACCGAAAGTAGACCTGTGGCGATTCTCGCAGGGGCACAACGGAGTTCCGTCCTTCTAGCTGACGCTCGAGGGCTCGCTGAACGAAGTCTCGTGCCCAATAGATTTCAGGATCTCTGAGAACTCCCTCCTTGGTCCAATCTTTTGACTGCTTAATTTCGTTGAGGAGATGTTGACGTTCAGTCATGTCTTTGCATGTTAGGTATCTTGATAGAGAATTGTGCAGGTGGCTTTCATTGTCTCCTTGGACTGTCTTCTGCAAATAAGCGAGCTCATCAAAGTACTTCTGCGGCTCTTGAGAACCCAAGATGAGCAGTTTATAGCACATCACCTGGGTAGGATAGTCTTGTAACTGCCTTGCAACCTTTAAGGTCATTAGAACAGGAATATTGGCCTCTGGCGGTAGATCAGGAATTGTCCAGCGCGGGTCTTCAGAGCCTTGTGGCACATAGACTGGAAGTTTGATCCACTCCCGACGATAGAACGCAAGGCCAGCAAAGTTACCCAGATACTCAAAAAGCTCCCGGAACGAGTCTGTCAGGTTGTTGACTTCTTTGCACCTCGTCTCGGCTGACTTGGCAATGACCCACCGCAGGAAAGGCCGAGTTTTCATGGCGTTCGGGTGCAGCTGCTGTATCCGTTCTGCAAGAGCTTTCGCATCTGCGAGCGACGCCTGCATACTGCTGAGATTGTCCTTAGTCAACTCAACCTCGAGAATCATATACATAAGTATATCGAGATGTGCCAGAACAGTTGACTCGTCATATTCATCGTTCACCCAGTCTTGAATGATTTGGTCTCGGCAATTTTGGGTTCCAAAGAACTCATCACAAGCTTGTTCGCTGCCGAAGGCGGAGAAGGCTGCTGTGAAGATATCTCTGAAGTCCCATATGCGTCCATGTGCCAGTAGATATCTGTAAAGCTCAGGCCAGTCGATCCATTCTTCCGCATAACCAGAAATTTCTTTGTCGAATATACTAGGAAGAAACAATCGGATATGAGCAAATATCTTCAGCGAAAGGGCGACAATTTGAATCTCGGTAGAACCCATCATCGGACCAAAGTCGAGATCATCTAATGCTGCTGTGGCCTCGTCCAGGGCCTCGTGTATCGTTCCCTTTCGACGAATTATGCAAAGGGCCTTCAGGAGTCGCCAATTCCAACGCAAAAGGAACATCTCATCATAGTCCGGATCAAAGACTGAACTCCGTGACCGCGATCTCGATCGTGATCTTGACCTCGATCTTGACAATGACCGTCCTCTTTCTCGTATAATCTCTCTTTCAATTACAACTCTGCGAGGAGGGCTCACTGAGCGGTCCCTTCGCTCAATCACCCGTCGGTTTGATCTTCTTGGTGGTGATGGGCTTGGCCTCTCTATTATTCTTTCGCGAATGGTCACTGGGTCACGGGACGGTTCTGTGTCTGATCGCCGTATAATGAAATCCTCTCGTTCTCTTTCCCGGAGAGGTGGATCTCTCTCCCTCTCAACTATCCTTGTCTCGACAGAGCGGTATTCCGGAGAGTCACGCCGTTCCCGAACAATCGGCCTGGAGTCTCTTTCCCTCCTTCCTATGACGACAGGGGGCGGTGGAGGTGGAGGGCTGATGCTCCGAGTAATTGTACTAGAGCTTGACCAGGATCCTGATCGTGGTCTCCGGCGACGGGATATAGGCACCCGTCGTCGGGGCGGAGCTCCATTGATGTCTGGAGGGGTTATCTCAGGACCAAAGATAGTTTCGGGATTCAGCGAGTCAAAGGTATTATAATCACCCATCTCCAGTAGCATCTCGGCGTACTGAACAAACACGTAGGGATGGCTGAGATGGGACTCAAGATGCTCTTTGAAGTAGTCCTTGGCGGCTTTGAAATGTCCCATTCTCTTCAGCTGAGCAAAATCTTCCAACTCATCGTCAAAGTTATCGGCGATCGGAAGCTCGAGATGAACTGTGACATCTTGCGGGTCTCCAACATCGTATAGGGTCTGGAAGAGGCCTGGCACATGCTCATCATGAACAGAGCTTGAGCGCCTACGATGAATGATAACCTCCGGGCTCCTAGGCCTAGGAGGCGGTATGTCTATCGGAGGTCCTTTTGATGGAGGAGGTCCCCCCATTCGACCCCCATTATGGCGGACTAATGGTGCAGAAGTATTTCGCCAGTCATCCGGCACATTAGAAGGTGGTCTTTGCCTGACTACAATAGGTCCATCTGGTTCGGGTGGCGGATCTCTGAGAAAGGCGGGCTGACGACGGGATTGAAGCTGATCGTCATAGTAATCTCCTCGTTGTCGATTACCCATGTGTGCGCGGTCCCGACGATATGGCTCATCCGAACGTCTTCTCACTCGGATGTCGATCTCGTCGTCGCTAGAGTAGTAATCGGCGTATCGGTCGCGCTCGCGGTCAAGCTCACGGCGCCGCTCATAGTCCCGGCGCCGCTCGCGGTCGATGCGGTCCCATCGATCTAGGTCTCGGTCTCGATCATTCCTGAACGACGATGAGCGCCGCCGGATAGGCCTTGGCGGCGGCGCCCTGTCATAGTAGACATCCTCTTCGTAATAACGGTCCCCAGAGCCGCGCCCGATGTCGATCGTGGAGCCGGATGCTCTCTGGTCCTTTGAAGAGCTATCGGCTTCACGTCTAATTCGATGCGCCATCGAGCATATCAGGGAAACCAAGAAGCGACTGTAAACCAAAACTATGCTAGGTGAGGCATCCTACAGAGAGACAGACTCGAGCGCATGTTAAAAGATTAAAGAGCTTGGCTTTGCGCCGTCACCCTCGGGACGGCTCGAGGAGCTCGAGTCCAGTTCTGAGGCATTGTTCCTTCGGCTACCTTGCAAGCGCATGCAAGCCTTTGTGGAGCTACCCTCGTGTAGTACCAAATTAAGGCAAGGAGGGGCTTGAGGGGGTTGGTGATGGCGCAACAGCGCCTCAGCTTTGGGGGCGCGATCGGTCTGATTGGCGAAGCTGATCGGCAGGATGCATCATAGAGCGAGCGGCTGGCCCAAGTTTGGGGGCGGTGCAGCCCCCATGCCATGCACGAGATCGCAGGTCTGCGCAGCTTCACAGCCCTCCTCTGACGACCATAATTTCTAATCCACACCTTGTTCATCGTTGTTGCCGTCGGTCTACTCAATAACTTCAAGACGTTTCGCCGCAGAGCTCTGGGCGTTTAAGTCCTGTAGCAGCAGCTGTTTGTGAGCGTCATGGCGACAACTACGGCGACAACCCCCGTCTTACAGAGCGGAAAGTGGGATCGAAGAGCTGGACGTTACGACTTCAAGCGTTTCGACCATGCATCCTCGACTGCCGTTTCCATCGCAAACGAAACAATCGGCAAGGTGACTGTCGACATCAAGTTCCTCTTCAGGCGCTCTCAATGGGGCACCCTGGGCCAGGACGAGAACCCCGCGGGGATCCTCTATATGGATCTCAACTTCACCCAGCCGGTAGGCCACAAGCTTACGTCCGCAACAATCCAGGTGACTTTGGACGACGATGATGTCGCCTTGGATCACTACCGCGATCCAGCACTTCTGGACTCGGGCCGTCCCGTCCAGATCACCGAATGGTATGGCCCCAAACAATTCGGTGGGCCGACGAAGATGGCGCATAAGCAGAGAACAATCAATCTGACGCCAGAAGCGAACGTGCTCGGAAATGGAGGCGGAGGTCTTGGAGTAAACTTCAATAAGTCGTTTGTGCATACCAGCAAGTGGACATTTCAGGGCAGCTTGCACCCTGGCCCGACTGGCCCCAGCTGGGCATATCGAAGGCTGAAGTGGGACATGACTGAAAATGACCTCGAGAAGCACCCGGACCATGCGAACAAGGTCCACACGGCATTTGCCTTTGAGAACAGCGGCCAACCTTTTCTGATGAAAGTTCAAATTGATGGAGAATTGGAGAAGATTGGCAGCAGGTTGAAAGATAAAGTGAAGAAAAAATTTGGGCCACGGCCTCGGAAGGAGCAGGACATATCCTCCACGCTGGTTGGTGCCTTCTACGGAAGGCGGCGACCTCTAGATGAACTAGCCAAAGGCTTGGAAAGAGCGATGGAGCTGGAGAACCGCAACTCGGTCCCTCTGGAAATGCCTGCTTCTCAGCAAGCAACATTTCAGCAGCTGCCCTACGAGCCCGCCGCCTCAAATAACCCCGCTACCGTCGGTTCATCGGCTGCACCTGGAGGTATGCTGGCATCAAACCCACCACCACAGATTCAAATCGAAGACGGCGAACCGATAGGGTTGCTGGAAGATAGGTCATTGTCGGCCGATCGCACTGAGCCAACACTCGACAACCTTGCAAGAGTTGGTGACTTCTTCAGTATGCCGATTCGCCGGCAGCCACCCGTCAGACGAGATATAGTTCGTGAAGACGTGTCTGAGATATCCGAGTTCACGTCTGCCACAACACTGGTCAACAGCCATGTTGGAGAAGGAGATCAAGAGGAGGAAGAACAGGAAGCGGAATCGGAGCCAGAACGGGCGGTGCAGATCAAGAACAAGAAACAACAAAAAGTAACAAACTCAAATAAGCTCAACGACCAGGAGGCGATGGCAAAAGCCTTTGAGGTTGCCTTTGTGCGAGTATTTGTACAATGTGTGATGTATCTGATGAGCTTGTGGGAGGCAGCGACTTCAACCAAGAGCTATGATGAAGAGTACGATGATGATGATGAGGTGGATGACGAAGACGATGAAGAGGAGGGAGAAGAGCATCTACCAAAGCCAAGAACAAAGCCAAAATCAAAGCCAAAGCCAAAATTGAAACAGAAACAGATACACAGCAAACAAGGCTCTCATGTGGGAAGTGTCATAAAGACTACTCCAGTAAAGAAGAAGGTAGCCAGGCGAAGGCGGGTGTCTGATGCATCGGAGTAACAAAACGGACTTCTGAATATCAAATTATATGCATGCAAGCATTCTGGCGTTTTGATTTTGCATGATGGACACTGGTGCATCAAGATACCAGTATGCATTAAGGTGGAAAGAGCCTAGATGTAAAGTCGTGAATTGTATATAGGTCGGCCGCTCATTGACTCTCGCATAAATCATTGGGAATTCATGATTTGCTGCCATGTGAGAATGAGGTGATTGACTTTAGCCAGACACTACCTCGAGATATATACTTTGCACCTGATTATATTTTATACATATCATTGGACCCCAAAACTCGATGACTATTCATATTGAAAGTATCTATATGCTATGTTCACCTGGAGAACTCGAGACTCTTGATGTGAATATGTGGACCATTTTCACCAAGCAACCTCCATCACGCTGAGGGCCTTACTATATGAGGTAAGTGCATTGAAATGGGATATAAGAATAATACTTTTATAACAACAATTATGCGCTTTACAAGGTAGAGTGTCCTCTTATTGTGGGGACTGATTAGATATGCTCTAAAATGGGCGCTCCGATCCGACGGCCCTGAGTTGTGCCCAGGGCCTGTGGCGGCAGGCAAATCGTCATTTTCAGAAGAAGCTGCAAAAGTCGCGACACCCAACTCTACACCACGACAACGAGATTTACAGCGTTGCGTGAGCCCAACACAGCACCATGCTGCGCTCTTGCTCTTCTCGGTTCGCAGCCCAGGCTCGCCCCTCCCTGAGACTGGGTAAGAATCGTCCGCTGCCCCAATTCCTGCACACAAGGCGGTCGTTCGCCAGTGTCGTAAACCCATCACCTCGAGTAAGTTCTGTCATTTGACGCCTGCGACTCTCGAGGAGAATGAACTAACACCAGCCAAGGAGCCAACCGAACGCGATAATATCACGACTCTGTCGAACGGTATCCGTGTGGCGTCCGAAGATCTTCCCGATGCTTTCTCCGGCGTAGGTGTCTATATCGATGCAGGCTCGCGATATGAGAACGAATATCTGCGTGGCGCAAGCCACATTATGGACCGATTGGCTTTCAAGTCAACGTCCAAGCATTCAGCGGACGAGATTCTAGAGACTGTGGAGGGTCTTGGCGGAAACATACAATGTGCTTCGTCAAGAGAATCCATGATGTACCAGGCGGCTACCTTCAATGCTGCGATCCCCACTACCGTCGGCCTGCTGGCCGAGACGATTCGAGACCCACAACTCACAGAAGACGAGATTCTACAACAGCTGGAGACCGCAGAATACGAGATCAAGGAGATTTGGTCCAAGCCCGAACTCATCCTACCAGAACTTGTTCACATGGCTGCATTCAAGGACAACACGCTTGGCAACCCGTTATTATGCCCTCAAGAACGCCTGGGAGCTATCGACAAAAATGTCATTACGGCATACAGAGATGCTTTCTTCCGGCCAGAGAGGATAGTAGTCGCTTACGCAGGAATCCCTCACGCCGAGGCTGTGAAGCTGACCGAGCAGCATTTCGGTGACATGAAAGGTGCTGAAACACAGGCCCTGTCCCGAACTGGTTCAGAGACGTCGATAGACTCACAGATCTCCGAGAGTTCTGATGCATCCTCGCAAGCATCATCTTCCACCTCTACACCTCCACAACAGCCTTCTAAACTATTATCCAAGATACCCTTCTTCAAGAACCTCTCTACTTCAGCACCAAACAATGCCTCTGTTCTAAATACGAATCCCATCTCAATCTCCGACGATGATCTCTATCGCCCTGCTCACTACACCGGAGGCTTCCTATCGCTTCCTCCTCAGCCACCACCACTAAACCCGAATCTGCCCACTTTCACCCATATCCATTTAGCATTCGAAGGCTTACCTATCTCTTCTGAGGATATTTACGCCCTCGCGACACTGCAAACACTACTGGGCGGCGGCGGCTCATTTTCTGCCGGCGGTCCTGGTAAGGGCATGTATTCACGACTCTACACCAACGTGCTCAATCAGCACGGCTGGGTTGAATCCTGTATCGCATTCAACCACTCATACACTGATTCCGGATTGTTCGGCATTTCAGCCTCGTGCTATCCCGGGCGGACTGCCAGGATGCTCGATGTCATGTGTCGTGAGCTCCGCGCCTTGACTCTTGACACGGGCTTCTCGGCCCTGGGCGAGGTCGAGGTCAACCGCGCAAAGAACCAGCTTCGCTCGAGCCTGCTAATGAACCTCGAGAGCCGAATGGTCGAACTAGAGGATCTCGGCAGGCAAGTGCAAGTCCACGGCCGCAAGGTGCCGGTGCATGAGATGACTCGTAAGATCAACGACCTGACCGTGGCGGACTTGCGCCGCGTGGCGAAGATGGTTGTAAGCGGAATGGTGGACAACCCCGGAAAAGGTAGTGGCGCACCGACGGTTGTCTTGCAGGAAGCCCAAGCAGCCGGTGTCTCCACGAGACAGCTTGCATGGGATGAGATCCAAGACATGATCTATCGGTGGCAACTAGGGAAGCGGTGAAATGACTGTAACTACTTACTCACGGGTCAGGTGTAATCGGACAAGATCGGGCGGGACATATTGCATGCATCCATGTACAATACTACTCCTATGTATAGAACCGGCGTTATCGCAAGGATTTTCAAACAAAACAGCTGTCGTGTCTCGTGTCCACTGCCTCCTGCCGCTTGTACAGATCTATATCTTTTAAACATGGAACGAAGTGCTCACTACTGTTGGTACAACTTGTATGTCATTAATGCCAAGGGACTAGGTAATCAACATCTAACAACAAACCACGCTGCCATTGCCGGGCGGGTGGTATCAAACGGTGATTACTAAGGTATAACCGGTAAGGAACAGTCACAGCGGAGAGTACATGTCATTATACGACCAATTACATAAACGCAGCGTCTTGCCTCCGAGATGGCCGCGAGTTAGGCTTTACATAGGTTATAATCCGGATACAAAACACTTATGGTCTTCTTCCTTCAACAAGTCAGTGATGAGTTGGCCGCCCCGGCAGCGGCTAAAGCCTTGTTAGGCAAACATAGTGCTGCTCTGATAATTGTCCTCCTATCCATGGCTGTCACTTCATCAACATCTGCTGAGAGTATTGCCGCCAGCTCGCTCCTGACATTCGATATTTACCAGACATACTGGAACCCGAAAGCTGAAACAAAAACATTATTGTTGGCCTCCATCGCTGGTCTCTTCCGTAAGTGATATTCTCAGCCTTATATGCATCTGCAGCACTAATGACCGTTCTCGTAGTATATGGTGCAGCCCTCGCTGCTATATGCTGCATATTCCACGCAGTTGGTATCTCGTTGGGTTTTCTCGTGAAGATTTTCGGCTGCCTTATGGGGGGCGGCTCATTTCCGATGGCCTCCATAGTGCTCTGGGACGGCACAAGCACGCTTGCTGCTCGATGGAGTCCAATCTTGGCGCTTTGTAGTGGTCTTATCACTTAGATAGTAACAACAAAAGCTCGGTCTGGCGTAATAACCGTAACCAGCCTCGGGGACTCCTACAATTCGCTTGCAGGCGACGCTGTGGCGCTTGGTGTCGGGCTTTTACCGTTGTATTGCTCTCTCTAATATTTCCAGATAAGAAGCCTTTTACCATCGACGGCGTTGCTTGTGAAGATGAGAACACCAATGCCAAAGAGCTTGACAAGGAGGAGAATGACCCAGAGAAGCTTCAGCAAGACACTTCCAGACCTTACAATATCGAGGAGTCTGCAGATGACGCCATCACGTCACATTTCGCTCGCAAGAGAGAGCCGGTCGTGCCAGTTTCAGCACTCACCCCTCAACAAATTCGCTCCCAAAGAACTCTTGCTTGGTCAGTGCTTGCCGTCGGTGTTTCTTGATCATTCTGCCTTTCACCCTGTATGGCACTGGGTATACCTTCAGTCTTGGCTTCTTCAAGGCGTACGCCGTCATTGCTTCATCTGGATCTGAAGTAGCGCTATCATTTGCCTAGGTCTACCTTTGTGGGAATCTCGTCATGTTCTTGCTATGACTGCAAATTCAGCGATTCGGGACACGAGTGTCAAAAGCGCAGAGCATCATAGATAAGTTTGGGTTGACGGAGATAAAGAATATTTGTGGTGTTCTAGATGGTGCCCGTTTTCTATATCATTTTCAGATACAGTGTTGGGAAGCGGTTTCGACCGATCATGATATATCACTTGAAGATGGCAGCAGGCTGTAGGCACTCAGCTAATCTTAATTGCCTATAACACTAGCAAGGGACGATTTGAATGTTGCAAGACTCTGTGAACAATCTCAAAGGATGGCCTTCACGCAACCAGGCTTGGCAATCTCCAACTCCTGTGCAATTGCTTCCCAAAAGTCTTTTTGCTCCTTCTTGGCATACTCACTGGTAATCCAGCTAGGAACTCTGTCCCTTGAATCACAAACATGTTAGCACAGCGACTCAACAAGGCGGTAGAGAAAGCCGACTTACTCGCTAATTTCACAGGAGTCAAGAGAGCAGCCGTGGCTCTCTTTACCTGCGACAGCGGCATGTAGCAGAGTCCGGCTACCGTCTTCAGCAGTTCGCCCGTACTTCTCTTGCATATCCACAAGCCGCTCCCGGAAGGCTGCCGGAGCATTGCGACTGAGGCTAGTTTTGCAGAGACCGGGGGATACTAGATTTAGCACAACTCCCGTGCGAGATACGGGAACTAGGGTTGCTAGATGGCGAACAGCTAGAACCTCTAGTAGCTTAGAAAGGGGATAACTGCAAGATGGGTATTAGTGAGATTACACATGATTTAAGAGAATGGCATGCCAGCCATACGTACCCCTTAACGGTTGGAATCGCTTCATCATCCATCTTCTTTAGTGGGTCATCTTTGATGCTGTTCCACTCAGCCTCGCAGTCAAACGCACGATCACTTGTGACAATAACAAGATGCGGCAGAGTGTTGAATTTCTTGGCAGTCTCGCTCATCTTGGGCAGCAGCAAGACGGCAAGGAGTAACGTGCTCATTACGTTAACAGTGTTGCCGATCCAATGTCCCTCGACATAAGTCCTCACGTGAGCAGCAACACCAGCGTTCTCGATTAACGCATCAATGCGTTCCAGTTCAGTGACAGCCTTCTCGGCAAATGCCTTCACGGAATCATAGCTTGCCAGGTCTAGAGCCCAGACATCGGCTACATTCGATTTCCCCGTTGCTTTTTCAATCTCAGACTTGGCAGTCTCGCCTGAGCTGACATTCCTGACAGCTATGATGACTTTGGCAGCACCAAGCTCAACCAAGTGTTTGGCCGCCTCGTAGCCCAAGCCAGTATTGGCACCTGTCACGGTGTAGGTTTTGCCAGAGACATTCTCAGTTGTGGCAAGGAGAGGGAGGTTGCGACGTTGCGTAAGTACAGAATCCATTTTGTGAGGTTGTAACTTAGAGTAGGGAAATCCAATAGCTTGTGAATTGTGAGTTAAAGTCTAGAATAGAGTTTATATGATAACATATAAAATGAAGAACTGAACGTCACTTGGCTTGAGAGCTCCATTGTTATTTATATTTCCACAGCAATGCGTGGTCTTGACTGATTAACTTTCATGAGTAGCGGACTTTGGTTAAAACCGGATCGATTGTCGTCTACTTGGGGACACATGAAGCTTGAAGACCGATGCCCGACAAAAGAAGACCAAGTGGCGATGCGGTTTCTTAACAAATGAGAGGTGATTTCCTAAACCGGATTAGCACTACTTAACAGAAGAGGTTGTGGATTAGTCTGTCGCCCGACTCAAGGCTAGCACTAGGCCATTTGCAGTTGAAGTGCATTTTACCCAATCAGAAAGTGGTTTCTTGAAGAGGCTTAGTGCTTTATCTGCTGGACACCCATCGGACATAACGGTTGCTCTTTCATTCGCGTCATTCGGCTTCTCAGCTCTCGGAACTAGCCAGGTGGAGGTTTTCGACAGACTGTTGCTTTTCGACTTATGGTTGGTTGATGTGTGTCGAAATTATCAAACGCTGGACGGATGTGCCCTGGCTGTGAAGACGGGAATGAGGCTGAGTCGTGGACATCAGCAAGGCTCGCTTTCCCACTGGGCATCTTCCGACACTCCCACCACAGGAGCAAATATTCAAGGTTGAGTCAATATTATTTATGTCTGTGTGGTCATTAGATGAAGCACATTTCGTCATTCAGTATATCTATCGCTAGAATTGTGCATCTGCGCACCAAATACCACTCGAAGATGACGGACACGAGACGCAGTCTGAGTGGTCCAGGCGCCCTTTGGTCCGGGCGGGCCGCTTTAGCACTAATTTTTCTGACCAATTATATTATACCGCCATCAGCACCACCGCAGCGGTTTAGGGGTTGAAACAAGGCAGCCGCGATTATCATGGCAATTCTAGACCTCTGAGACCACCGCGCCAGCATGGATTTAAAGCTCGTATGATGTGGGAATCACGTTTACTACTGTCGGGAGAAGTGAAATATTCCAGGTGACCAGTGATCAATCTGTTCTTGTACCTTGGCCAGCGCGCAGTCTTCGATCCCGAGAGGTAGCGACCGTCCGCATCCGTGTATACGGCAAAAGCCAAACCGATAGCTCATACGATTCTAAAAGTCCAAGCCCCTGGTCACCAGCCTCAACTGTTGAAGCTGCTCTTCTTGACCCGGCTGATCTACGAGCACATTTTATTACATCGGCCACACGCATCGGCCAAAATGGCCCATTGCAGCCGATTTGTTTCCGCAAAGACTTTACCCTACCAGCAGATATTGTCTCAGGATTCAGCGCTCGACTATACAAAACTGCACTTGGTATTTTCGAAGCTTGGATCAATAGGCAGCGCGTAACCGACGAGTGCATGGCACCTGGATGGCAGAGCTACAAGCACCGACTAGTATACCGAATACTGGATGTGACATCCCTATTACGGCCCGGACAGAAGAACACTATTGCTGCTGAGGTTGGCGAGGGTTGGTATGCTGGACGACTCGGCTTCAACGGCGGTATTCGCTTCAGATATGGCGAGGAGATTGGCCTCTTTGCGCAGCTCGAAGTGGCTGGAGCATCACTTACCGCTGCCAAAGCCCTCGATAGGCTTTGTTCGAACAGCTCGATTCCATATAAGCACAGGATTTGCAGGAACGCCGGTGATTACGCACGCACTCACTACTGTGAGGCGTCCTCGATTGGCATACCGTGTGTTACTCGAGACCACATGTCCGAGTTGGCTCTACCCTGTGGTCGCCATGGGTGCTGCTACGATCTGGGAACGCTGGGATAGTATGATGCCCGATGGCCGAATCAACCCAGGGACCATGACAAGTTTCAACCATTATGCTCTAGGAGCTGTTGCCGATTAGTTGCATGCCTCTGTCGGCGGCATCTTACTCCTTGAGCCCGGATGGCGCGTCATTCGAGTTCGCCCAGTACCTGGAGGCAATATAACAAGTGCTAATGTGCACTTCAACGGGCCGTATGGATTGGTCGCTTGCAACTGGACACTGAGTGACGATGGCAAGTTCTACATGCAGCTGACGGTTCCTCCAAACTGCTCTGCTGTGGTGACACTACCGTCACAACTCAGAAGTGACTTCGGTGATGAAGAAAAAGTCACGCAGTTTGTGCAATCTGGGGTTCATACGCTTGAATGTCTCTTTGACGCTGGCGAATGGCCCCCTAAGCCGATGATTGCCGCCAACCAACCCATGCCTGCAGACACTATTGCACAGTAATAGCCTCACTCTCGATCATGTTAACATCAGACATGTGGTCAAGTTTGTATTGTTTAGCAGAATGTGTACGATATCACGACTCCTACATTGGGGTTGACTAAGTAATTATAGAACATATAGACCTTCAGAGACAGAGACTACTGCTTGTGAAACGGACATTTGAAAGTCGTGGAAGAATACTACAATTCAATTCGTCTTTTCAGACAGCAACTCTTTCTTTGAACATTGAAACAGGGCAGCAGTGTCTACTGTAGATCAATACCTTCTCAAGATATCACATAGCACACACACAAAAAGAAGCCCTCAGGATAAGAGGACGTACTGGGAATGAATTGTAGCCATCCTTGTATTGTAAGTAATTATAGTTGAGTCAAACGAGTGAGAATGAAGTAAGATAACCCCCCTCCCATTAAACCACTAACCTCTCTTGACATTACTAAGGAGCAGAGATGGTAATGTCACCTATCGAGCATCGGCCAAACAACAATGATTACAGTGGGGACTCGGGGATGGAGTTGAATGTGAAACGAGAACAAGACGTTTTAAGCCGAAACGCACAGAATCTGTCGGACCCTGAATAATTCCAGACCGATTGCTATTGAGTATGCCGTATACTCCCATTACTAGCCGCGCAGGGACAATAGCTAGCTATCCGGCCTTAACAAATGGTCATTGTCTCGCCTCATTTATCAGCAGCACACAAAGCATCTCTAATTATATCAGTCTGCCAATGTTCTGCAACATCCAGCAATCCAATCAAGCGGACGACGGCCCCGGTGAACACCAAGACATGCATCCAGTTATGACTTTGGCCAACAAGATCAAATGTACCAGGAAACCAGCGCTCAGGAATTCGTGCTGCGTACAGGGCAGCACCTGAGAAGTTGATAACTGCCAGTCCAAGAAAAGATGAGAGGTTCATCATCTCTTCGAGATTCTTCCCGAAACTCCAGAGTCCATGTACTACCGGGGCAAAGAGACTGGCCCCGAGAAAGACGTACATTAAGAATCGAGTCGTTCTGTAGGCAGGCTGTCTGAACTTCGGCCGCAATGTAAACACTGCACAACCCAATGCTGTACCAGTGAGCAAGACAAAGTAGGTATTTCGAAGAGATTCACGACAGTAAAAGGCAAAATGTGTGCCGGATATGCCAGTTCCCCACATCACGAGCACGATGCCAAGGTGGTCGAGCTCGTTGCCAAATTTATGCATGCCGGGGCTGTGATCCGAGAAGGCATGGAAAATCGTCGAGAGTACAAAGCATACGACAACACAAATATAGTAGAGTCCCACAGCTATGGCGTCTTGCCACTCGATCCAATGGGCTAACTTCTCAAGCTGTATGAACTGAATGAACATCAAGAGAAACCAAACAGCCCCAAGCAAGTGAGACCATATATTCGCTATACACGATTAGTGTCCAAGTGACAGAGTGTCTGGGGGCAAATAGCTGTATACTCGTTTCATTATGAATTTTGAATACTGTGCGCAATGACCTAATATATGAAAACGATGCGATGCTAATGACGTCGTCAGCTCTTCTGTGAACGCTAACCAATAATGTAGCAATACTAACCGATAGCCAGTCAGGATGAACTCGTTGTCTCTGTTCTAGTAAGTATTGCTATCTCACTCACGTACCAAACAACTTACTTCTGCCAGGGTACTGTGCGTAAAGGTCTTGGTTAGCATGGCGATGCCACAGGTGTGTTTTCAGGCCTACAGATATCTTTCCAGGTTAATGTGCCGTCTCGAGGCTCACCGCTTACAGCCTTTTGTGCCATCCGAATAGACGATAAAATCACAATTTTTACGATGAATAGAAAATCAAAGGTGAGACGAGATAAACTCTTCCGACCGCTATGCGCCGCTTCAAATTGAAAAATGACGCTCGAACGTGATTCGAGTTTGGTGGGTGACAGATCTGTCACTGAACCCCCGCGTTTTAAGCGCCCGTGGCTGTCAAACACACTGGCCAACTTGATCGTAACCAATTCAATCTAGGTATACTCTAGCACATTTTGCGCATTCAACTCTCAATACAAAGATGCATGTCACCAAATGACCTACGGCCACTAACATCCAGTCTTGGCAGGCCACACACGGGCCTCGGCCATAACTCTACTTGGATTGTTCGCAGCCGCCAGCGAACGAGGCGAGACGTCGGGATAACCATGCAACCAACATACATAAAGCTGAAACTCGCTTATTTATAACTGACAATGTGCTAGATTTATTTAATGTGACTTGCCGCATCGCCATAATCTTGACACTGTGATTTTATGTACGACTGGGAATGTTTGCGATTCTAGTTCCCTGTTCCCCATGAATTGGTTCTAGGTGCCGTTACTGAGAATATGGCAAGCTCTAATCTTACAGCCAAGCAGATAACGTCCACGACGAATCGTTTTGTAGGCTACATCGATGATCCGAACGGGCGAGGAACTCCGTCGTTAATTATATCCTGTGTTTTAACCTTGATCTTGTGTGTTTGGTCGGCTCTGCACCTCAATGTTCCACCACAGAATCAAACGAAGGCTCGGACAATCTGGCTGAATGCGCGGTGGATCGTCACCGGTATCTACGCTCCCGAGCTTGTTGTTTTTACTGCTTGGAGACAGTGGTCCTCCGCCAAAATCTTACAGAAATTAGTCGAGGACATCTTGAAAAATGACGATAAT